CCTTAAAACTTAAAAGTTATCCAAAACTCGTTAACAAAACATATATGTATTGTTATGACCTACCATACAATTATGGTACTGAGAATTCCGGAATCCATACTGGTTGTAATTATTAAATTATATTTTTTGTGATTATTAAAACATACTTACTAATTACGATATTTTATATTTGACAGATATACACACACCAAATGGCAAATAGCTTGCAAACGTTTAAAGGCATCGTCGGTGATCCGATGAAGCGTGTAGGGACAAGAAGCATCACCGACGAAAAGCCACCACCACAACTTTCCAAATTCTAAACCTCTCCATCCCCCAACAACATCACATGGTCGCCGCATTTAATACGATATTCTATTTTTTTTTAAAATAAATATTATCATATTAAATATCAATGAAAATAAAACTAATATACAGGTGTTCCATAATTGCGTTTGATAGGTTCTTGTTTAAAGCTGCCGTCTAAAGTGGATCAGAAGCTTTCTTAAGCTCTTTAATTATTTATTAGACCCAAGATTTGTAGGCATTTGGAGCTTTCAGACATCAAAATTTCTCTCAAGATAGATAATAATATACTTTTAACGATTTTTTTTTTCTTATCTGAAGATATTATATATTTATATCGCTGTTACTGTAGCAGTCTTATTTTGTTTGATTATCGTCCAAATTAATTATTATAAGAGTTTAAATGGTTAGTACCTTAAAAAATATTATTTTTGTGAATTAACGTATGTATGAATGAAGTAGTGAAAATATTTATTTCTAATTCTGGGTTTGTTAAGTCTCAAAATTGTCAAGGATTGATGATTGTTTTGCAAAGATATTCGAAGATGATTATGTCAATAATACGTAAAACAGATAGTGGGTCGGTTTTTGTCTTTTGCTGAATTCTTTTTCACAGTTCTGTAGATTAACCAAGAATTTAGAATATCATTCATAGTGATTTTATTTGAAGATATATCAGATAAAATGCCTAAAATTTATCAGTGAAACGGGGTTTCTTGGATCTATCTGTAAGCCCTTTTACGTTTTGGTCTATAACCCACTTATGGAGTTGGGTAAGCCAAACTACATGGCCCATTGGACTAGTTGTTTTATTCTGTCGTTTTTGGACATATGTGAATGGACTCTTAGAGTATAGATAGACGAGTAGACTTTTTAATAATTGATTACTTTTTAATTGGACAATAATCAATCCTGCAATTGTCAAGTGGTTGTTTAAGACGTTAAGTACGTGTTTTTCTTGCAAAATTTTTTTTTTTTTTAGAAAAAAAATCTATAAATCGGTTTAGAAAATTCATAGGTCTGTTCACTATTAGGATAAAACGTACAATATTGATTAGGCTATTTGGTTTAGATTTTTGGATGTTTGGATGAGTTTATAGTAAAACAGAATTATTATTATTATTATTATTATTACTAGGTGTGAGATCCGTGTATTACACGGGTTGATTTAAAAAAAGGATTAAACATTAAACTAAAGTGTAAACAGAAAATATTTTTAATGTACAACTTTAAAATAAGAAAGGAATAAACGTATTTATTGCAATTTAACATCATATATATATATATATATATATATATATATATATATATATATATTTAATACTTTACATATATATGATTTTAATTTTAAAAATTGAAACAAATCAAAAATTAACAAGTGAATAATATTTATTTCAAAAATACCACAAAATGATAAGAATCAAAACTCATGAGAAATTAACATGTGCTAAAAAAAATCTTCATTTATTAAGGAAGATTCTATATATATATATATATATATATATATATATATATATATATATATATATATATATATATATATATATATATATATATATATATATATATATATCTTTTAGTTATTTATTAATTTGCTAAATTGTATTTTTAAATAGATTAGAAAGTATTATCCAAAAAAAATATTTCAATGTATACTTTTCAATAGCTTTTTATCTATAAAATATTTAATTATAATAAATTTTTTAATAGTTGTTCATAATTTTAATTCACACCAAACAATTTATTTTAAAGTTGATTAATATTATGTTATATATATTTTTAAATGTCTCGATTATTGAAAACTGATCCAACCGAATTGCAATTTGAATGGTTCGGATCGGATTTGAATTTAATTTGCACTATTCAAATTCACGTTTTGAAAATCGAAATTAATTTGGATTCACCTGATTGGATCGGATCAAACCGATCCATCCAAACGAACACCCCTAAAAATTCCACGATGTAATAGTTTCCGTTAAAAAAAAGAGACTGCCAAAGAAGTGTAACTTATCATCGTCCTTGAAAAAACTCCTTAATTAATCTTGAAAAAAAAATTGACAAGAAGTCAAAAAGATTCATTTATAGATTTAAGTTTTAACTAGTGAAGAACTCCGCTTTGAGGGGTTGGATACACCAAAGAAATGGTCAAAACGAAAAGATTTTATAGTGGTACATTTAACTGTAAAATCATGAACATTACCCTATCTTTAACCAAAAAGTGCGGCCTCTATGAAGACCATTAGTTATTCACATCCATTTGCACAAAAACTCATTCATTTAAAATCCATGATTCCTAACAAAGGGCAATTTACTTTGTGGGTCATTGGATTCTCCATCTTGTTTACCATCTCCAGAGCCTAGAAAAAATAATCAAAATGCTATTAAGGACATATAAGTTATCTGCCACTAATTAATATTATTGATATCAAAATGTAAGTAGAATGTTAATATGAGTAACAATCTATAAGTAAAATGTCATTATATATGAACATGAGAGCTAACCCCTTCAAAGGAAATGGTGATGAAATTTGTTTATGCAAAAGTAAACATAATTTTTCTGTCGAGAATCATCATATACAAACACAGCCCCTTTGTAAATTTGTTTGACAATTTGTCGTTTATCCTGCAAAGTTTAACAAAAGCACCGGATGTTAATTCACTAAAACCTAATAATTATCATAGTGAAATTCTATTTTCTAGGTATTTGTAGAAAATTGCTAGAAATAGCTAGGAAAATTATCAGATGCATGTCGTTAAAAAATTTATAAATAAAAATGGGTATCACGGTAAAATTGAATCCTTGATTTTAGTGTCGTGTTTCCAGTTTTTTGCTGTAAAACCAATATGGTTTTCCTACTCAGATGAGATTTTTTTTTCTTGTCCTAAATTAACCACAATTAAACTAAAATTTGATTAAAAAATACATATAATATAAGTAACTAAAAATCATTTAAGTATAAATATTCTATTATCATAACCATATTTTTTTCTATCGATTTACAAATGAACATGTCGAACATAGGTTTATAAAACATATACAAAAAGAGGCCACATTCACTAAATCAATATTACACTTTGTGGTTCATCTTCTATACATCTTGTGGACCTCTGAGATAGCTTTTAATCCCAAAAAGTAGTGTTGAATTATTTGACTTCTTCCATTTCAATTTTGACAAAAGTCTTCGGATTAAAGTAGCAATGCATTATATCCAAGATTTTAGTCCGGTGAGAAAATTAAGACTTGTTGTTCACAAAAATTAAACATCATTAATTACAATTTACAAACAAAATCATCATCTCAACTGATAATGTGTTTGTAATTTAGATATTTAACAAAAGTTCACATTTTTTTAGGGATATATACATTAAAGTTCCAATATTTTCATCGATTTGATAAGAACGTCTTAAAATTTATTTTTTTCACAATAAAACCCTAACTACCGACAATTTTTGACACTTTTACCATTTTTTCCCGTTTAACCGGTAATTCTAAATTTTTTTGTCAAAAAAAAATAAAGCTTAGGATTTTCTTGTTAAATCGTGAATTAGGACTTTATTGTTAAAAAATAAAGTTTAAAACTTTTTAGTCAAATCGTTGAAAATATTGAGATTTTAGTATATTTTCGTAACCCAAGAACTTTTCATTGTGACTTTTGTTACAACGCCACTATTTTTCTTACCATCATTATGTCTAACCTAATACAATCACGATCAGGAGAAACAGATGTAAAATAGAGAGCAAGAAATGGTGAAAAGACTTGTAACATTTTCTTCTTACTTCGCCGCCAAATCTTAAACTAAAAAGTGGGGATAGATTAGACAAACATAAACAACACATGCCTAGTCAACATGGTGTGAATGTGGAGAAGGGGTACGAAAGATAATTTTTTTTTTTCGGTTTCTTAGTCTTCATTTTTGGAATTGCAAAAAGCCAACACAATCATGGTTCTTTCTTACTTGGTTATCTCAATTTTTTTAATGTCGTTTGTTGAGATTAAAAAAAAAACTATTTAACAAGAAGCAAACGTTAAAGATTTCAATAGGATCTAGCTAGAAGGTTTCAATAACTCTTATGCTTAAAGAGTAACATATCATCAAATTGCTAACAAAAAAAAGGATATATATACTAAAGTCCTAATATTTTCAGCGATTTGATTAGAAAGTGCTAAACTTTATTTTTTTGACAATAAAGTCATAATTTACGATTTGATAAGAAAGTTATTTTTGACAAAAAAAGTCATAATTACTGGATAATCAGAAAAAAAAATGATAAAAATGTCAAAAACTGCCCGTAATTAAAATTTTACTGTAAAAAAAAATAAAATTTAAGATTTTTTTTATCAAGTCGATGAAAATATTGATACTTTAATGTCTATATATATATATATATATATATATATATATATATATATATATATATATATATATATATATATATATATATATATATTTTAAAGTAACACAACTATAATAAGCAGATCAATGAGACATGATCATCCTACCACCATCATAAATATAATTCCACTCACCGTTATCTATCTTGAAGTAAATTGTCTCAATGTATCATTTATTTACAAATAGAGTTCCATCTTATTTTCCAAAAAATGCAAATGCTATGTTTAAAAAAAATTGATAAAACGATGATATATATTAAAAGCAATGTTACTGCACGCTGCTATATTTGTTTGTACTTCAAAGAAATATGAATATCACCCATGAAAAAAAATCTAAAGTACGACCAATGGAACTTATACCACTTGTCATTATGTGTGTATTTGTGTTATATTGATGCAAGAGATTTGGGTTTTGCATTCTATCTCGCTTCATTTATCTCCATCTCATTCTATTGCAAAATGGAATCAACCACGCGAAGGTTACCAAAAAGAACCCTGTCAAGTTAAGATTCTTGTTATATGAATTTATATCATAACAACTATCATACATAAAGTATGAGCCAAAACTTTTCTTTGACAAACATTACTACTAATTTCACAAAATGCCAATATGCACATGTCAAATTAAGAGAAATATAAAGATCAGAATATGTAAACACAATTATGTTAATCAAAATAACTCTTTGATTATTGTGAGAATATCACTCAAAACTCACGGGGTTTACAATGCTTTCCGATGATCATAACTCGACCTAAAACAATGTATATATACTCCTAACTACCGACTTGTAATTAGATTACAATTAGGAAACTAGAAACCTACTTGTTTATGATTTCCTAAAAACTAGGTTGCTATTACTTGGTCTCCAAGTCCTACTCGACTTAGGATTCCAACAATCACCCCCGAATCTCTAAATCCTTCTACCTTCAACCCGGTCAATATCATATTATCTCTTTTCACCACCCCAACCTCTTTATCAAGCTTGTTCTGAGAGCAACTTTCCACCTAACAATAAGACTACATCACGACCACATTTACCGTCTTCCGTCACTCGCAAAACGAACCGAATCAAAATCACCCGTTTTGACGTCTTCTCGTCCGTTTATTTTGTGCATCCGGTTGGTCTCTCTCTAACTTAGAACCATCCCGATCAAGAAAAATCGAGGCTGCTGTTGAGATGCTTCAACTCGTAATAAAAAACAATCCACACCCCCTTAAAACGAACCCGGTTCCCGCTGCGTCTGCCCAACAACGAAAGGTTACGGTATTCTTGAAATCGACTCTCAAACCGGCACCGTCTTCACCTCGCTCTGATACCAATTCTAGTTTACAAAATGAGAACGCAAAACAAAAAAGTAATCAAAATTCACTCTTTGATTAAATGGAAAAACTAACTCAAAACCAATGTTTTACAATCTATTCTCATAATCATAATCTCGATTATAGATAGGTATATATAGACTAACAAACCAAATTGTATTAGACTAGGAAACTTATGACCAACTTGCTATAAAATAAACTTTCCATAAATTAGATTGATTGGTATCAGAACGGGGTGAAGACGGTGCCGGTTTGAGAGTCGGTTTCAAGAATACCGTAGCTTTTTGCTATGGGGCAGACACAGCGGGAATCGGGTTCGTTTTAAGGGGGTGTAGATTGTTTTTGATTACGAGTTGAAGCATCTCAACAACAGCCTCGATTTTTCTTGATCGGGCTGGTTCTAAGTTAGAGAGAGACCAACCGGATGCACAAAATAAACGGACGAGAAGACGTCAAAACGGGTGATTTTGATTCGGTTCGTTTTGCGAGCGACGGAAGACGGTAAATGTGGTCGTGATGTAGTCTTGTTGTTAGGTGGAAAGTTGCTCTCAGAACAAGCTTGATAAAGAGGTTGGGTGGTGAAAAGAGATAATATGATATTGACCGGGTTGAAGAATTCTCTAGAAGGACTTAGAGATTCGGGGGTGATTGTTGGAATCCTAAGTCGAGTAGGATTTGGAGACCAAGTAATAGCAACCTAGTTTTTAGGAAATCATAAACAAGTAGGTTTCTAGTTTCCTAATTGTAATCTAATTACAAGTCGGTAGTTAGGAGTATATATACATTGTTTTAGGTCGAGTTATGATCATCGGAAAGCATTGTAAACACCGTGAGTTTTGAGTGATATTCTCACAATAATCAAAGAGTTATTTTGATTAACATAACTATGTTTACATATTCTGATCTTTAATTGGTAATTAAAGATCAGAATATGTAAACACAGTTATGTTAATCAAAATAACTCTTTGATTATTGTGAGAATATCACTCAAAACTCACGGTGTTTACAATGCTTTCCGATGATCATAACTCGACCTAAAACAATGTATATATACTCCTAACTACCGACTTGTAATTAGATTACAATTAGGAAACTAGAAACCCAGTTGTTTATGATTTACTAAAAACTAGGTTGTTGTTATTACATGGTCTCCAAGTCCTACTCGACTTAGGATTCCAACAAAATACACGAATATAAAGTTTACGTTGTTACACATATCAAACTCTTTGATATCAAGGGCAAGGGCTCGACAATCATTATTACATACTACAAAATGAACCACACCACTGCAAAAGGATGAAAAGATAGATAAAGTCATGTTATTTTTTTTAAAAAAAAAATTGTGAAATAAACAAAATTGATATCAACGTAGGACTGGTATAGATTTGTATAGCATTAGTTATGTCATTATCATCATAAGTTGTTTTCGAGCAAATATTTTTCCTTTGTTCTTTTATTCTCTTATTTATCTACTCGGGAACAACTTATGATGATAATACCATAATTAAAATCAAGTTACAACATCGGTTATTTACATAACAAAAATCAAGTTTCAAAAACTCTGAATTTTGAAATCATAATAAAAAAAGGAATATTATTTTACAGACATACCTTATTAGTTGTTACGGTTTATTATTACTACCAACTTTCATGGCAAAAAGTTCAGTGGTATCTTTTAGTTCAACCAAATGAACACTACAACCAAAGAATTCAGTTATTCATGGTGAGAACCTTTGGAAAATAGAAACTGAAACTATATTTTCCCGTATCGATTATTTTGCAATGATAGGATAGAATTAATTGGGGAAAATAGTAAACAAATTGATTATAATAGATATTGGAAAAGTCAATGTATACATTCGGACAATGCACCTGTCGGTAGCTCTACCTCGCAAAAGCCTATAGGCTTAAAATGATGAGGTCCTGTTATTTCACCATATCGAGAGATCTACAAAACAATAAAATGGTTTGAAAAGCTACGTAATTTGGTAAAGAAAAATGTGAAAGTTTGTTGCATTCTAAAAACCAGTTACTGTTTCTATAGCTTTCCATGAACAATTATACTTTTTGTGGAGCCTAGGAAAGATAGATTGAGAGTGGACAGTCTCATAGTCAACAGGTCCCGCTTCTGAAAAAGGACATAACAAAATTATTTTCCAGCCAAAAATAAGTGAAAACATATATTAGAACTTAGAAGTACCAAAAAAATAACATGGTAAATTGATAAATATTGTATCATTTTGAGTTGTAATACTTTCACGTGTCAGTATTAATATTTTACACATATACTACTTACAAATAGAATGCTAAGGAAAGACAAGTACCTTAATAGAATGCTAAGGAAAAACAAGTACCTTACGAAGTTGGCATGAGGAAATTCTGTAACAACTTCAATAACATTTTATGCGGTATCTTTTACCTTATCATAGAGAAGAACTTTAAATATTTTAAGATATTTGTAAAAAAAAGGTAATAAGTGAATTGATAGAAATAAATGAAGATGTAAGCCATATATAGAGTTAAATGCTATAAAGATAAAAAGATTATTTTTCAGGAATATGATAATAATGATTGGTTTTGGTTAGATGATAGATACCATAGTCTATCTTCGAGCAACAATATCATATCTCATTGATGAGAAGACTATGGATAAGGCAAAGAAACAATCAACATAATTCCATAAATATTGGAATTGTTAGAATTCAGTTAGTAAATAATCAATAATACCCACCAGGTGGTCGACATAATGCAGAGTCAAAAAATGTACCTCAATAGCAAGGGAGCTGCTTAAGATGTAGGCTAATCCACCAAGAGGAGCAAACATAGAACATTCTAGCAACATTAATGTCTTCTGATAAGCTTGTCCAATCATTGTCAAGTCTTTACGAGAACCAGAGATGTCTTTTTTGTGATGGAGCTCCGATTTATGAAACCATAACATTTCTGAGCTTTGAATTGCTGCTAAAGATGGAAAATTAACTTGTTGGATTTTGGAAAAGCATACAGAGGTAGCTTAGCCCTTGTATCCAATCCTAGGATAATTTAAAACAATCTGTTTTGTATCCAATCCCAGGATAATTTAAAACACTGTTTTAATACAGAAAAAATGTTTTAAAACTTCAAATCAACCAAATATAAGAGGTTGAAAATTGAAGTTTTCAAGAACAATATTAAATAAGGAAGCAATTGAAGGAATACCTGTTACACAACAATTTCTCCGTAAACTACAACCGAAACCAAGGTCTACCTTAGACCATCCTAATTGGCAACCAAATGCTTGGTTGGTTGCCATGTTTCAATTAAAAAAAGTAAAAAAATCCTTTAAAACCCACGACTAGGTTGTTCCACAAACCTTTAGTTGTCATTTTCATTTCTTATTTATTTATTTATTTGTTATAACTCTTTTGCACTTTAAACATTATGTTGTAATCAGTTTAATTTTATTTTTATTAAAAAAATAAACAAAACACATTAAAATACGTAAAATAATTTTATCTACAAATAAAGACAAATATTGATATATTTTAAGAATTTTTTTATAATTTTTTTAAGGAGAATTTCATATATGCCTTTTTTAAACATCAAAATATCATATTTACCCAACTTAATTTCTAAATATCATATTTACCCTTTATAAAATTTCTAAATATCATATTTACCTTTCATAAAATTTTAAAATATCATATATATTCTTTTTAAATATCAAAATATCATATATACCATTCTTTAATATCAAAATATCAGTGATAATATTTAAAATATCATCCATCTACAGCATAATAATAATAATCAATAACAACAAAAACTAAACAATTAAAATATACATTCCATAGAAAGGGTTGAAGATGAATATTATTGTCTGTCAGAGGCCGACATTCCAACAATTTAGAAGTTCACATTCCATTATCATACACGTAATGATAATATTGTTAAATTTCTTAATTATTATAATAATTCTAAGGTATAAAAAATAATTATAAAGTATTAAAAACATTATAAAAAAGGATTTGGACAAATATAATATTTTGAAGGTTTATGAAGGCTAAATATGATATTAAGAAATTAAGCTGGGCAAATATGATATTTTGAAGTTTAAGAGGAGCATATATAAAGTTCTTCCTTTTTTTTTATGTTGTCTATATAATCTTAAAATAGTAGAAGAGAGAGAAATTATTTTGGGTTGGATTGCTAATGAGTGTGAAAAGTTGGTTTGGTTTGATAGTATAGGCGAAAGAGAGATAAATTACTTTTTTAATTGATTGTTGGATTGGTTTTGGTTATGAATGAGAGTAGTCTTAGTCTGATTGGAGCGATTGTAAACATCAAGCCCTATCACCAAAAAATGGTGTTTATGAAGCTCTAACCATTAAATAGAAATGACGAATTAGGGAAGAAGAAGTGTACCTTTTTTACTATGACTCTAGCTCGAGGAACAACTGGAGAACTAAGATAAAAAGCATCAAGCCAAGGAGGGTGTGCAGTGATTTACTGGGAGAACAGATTCTGAGATGTTTACTCTCTAAAGCAAAGTTGAAGCTCACTGTTTTTCGTGTAGCAACGGAGAAGACAAGAAACAGAAGATAACGGTAAGAATGAATCGGTAGTAAAAACCATTGAGATATGTGATGAACAATCGAGAAGATAGGCCGTGGTGAAGGAGGCGAAGCATCGAGATTAATTGGGTATGAAGAGGTTGTGCCTATGAGCGTTGGGCGGTGGTTTTTCTAGGAATGAAGCGATATTGGCGGTGAAATTAGAAGTATTAAAAAAAAATCCCCACCAATATTAACAAAGTACTGTTCACAAAAAGGTTTAAAATTACTATATTATATAATGATAAGATAATTTTGTTTTATTTATCTGAATTTTATGCAATTCTTTATTAAAAATATTAAAAGTCAAAACGAATCATTGACGCATTCTTAAAAATTTACCAAAAGAATATATTTTCCAACTAACATGGTTATCTCTTTTTTAAGAGAAATTTACAAAAATAGCCATTTACACTAATGATATTACAAAAATAGCCAAAAAAAATCGTAATTACAAAAATAACCACCCATTTCGCAGATGAGAAGGTCCCATCTGCGAAATGGGCTTCTCATCTGCGAAAGTACAAGTGCCTAAAGCACAGTTGTGCTTTAGGCACTTGTACTTTCGCAGGTGGCCTTTTTTTTTTTTTTTTTTTTAAATTTTTTGCTGTATATATAGGGGTTATTTCGCAGATGGAATAGGTCCATCTGCGAAATCCTCTGATTGTATCTGCAAAATCGTGTTTTTTTTTGAATTTTTTTTTTAAGTTGACTATGAAATGGTTTGTTTTGACTACGAAATCAGGTTGCTATATAAATAGTTTTGTAGAAAAAATATCATTTTGGTTGTTATTTGTTTAGGAACTCTCTCTACAATTTTCTCAAAAAATGATTGAATATATGGTTTGTCTTGTAACCGGTGGGAGATGGCAAGTTAATGGAACTAATCTGGAATACATATGTCCACAGGGAGGTATTTCTGAACTTGCTTTGATATTTTCTGAGTATATTAGTTATAGTGATTTTGTATCTTTGGTAAGAAGCAAAATTGGTTTGTTAGACAAATATAGAATTAGTCTTCGTTTCCACCATCCTGAATTAAATTATTATATAGCTATAGTTGAAGACATGGATGTTAGAATGTTGATAAACGTAATAAAATGTAGTGGAGGAAGGGCTGTGAAAGTGTTTGTGGTGGTTGATGAAGTTGAGGAGGTTAATGGGGCTGGTGAAATTGGAAACCAAGTTGTTGGTAATTTATGCAGTTATAAAGGGAGCAACGATCCGATAGGTACTTACAATACTCCTAGTGTACCTCAGTTTCACAGTGTTGCTGAAAATGTTAATGTTAGTTATTCACCTATTCACTAGGTGGAACCTGAGAATTACAAGTCTGTTGGAGATGATGTTGATGCATATCTTAATCATGTGGGTGGTCGTTGTGATGATGTTGCCGAACAAGAAGTTAAACTTATGAATAGGCGTGTGGTAGATAAAACAAAAAAGAAAAAAAATTCAAGTAAAAAAATGAAAAAAATCATGTTTACGGGCATTATGTTGATGTTGGTGATGTATGTTTAGATATAAGCGAGCTACAAAGCAATTCCGATAGAGATGAGTTGGGTGATGAAGTTAAAGCTAAGTTTCCCGATAACCTTTTTCATGGTATGCCCCCTGTACCAGCATGGCCAGTTGATATTAATGAAGATATCCCAACACAGATGGTAGACATGAATCTTCAAAAGATTCAATGTGAGAGTATATTTAAGAACAAAGAACTTTTAAAGCGGTGTATTGGTAAAAAATGTCTTCGAGAAGGTTTCCAGACGAGGACAAGTAGATCCACCAAATCAAGGTATGAAGCTGTGTGTGTTTCGAAAAATTGTTCTTGGTTACTAAGAGCAAAAGCAATTAAAAATTCTGATGGTCTTTTCCAAGTGAATAAATTTGTTGATGTACACACATGTTCTTCAACATTGTTGCAACCTAATCATCGACAAGCAAACAAATATGTTTTGGGTGAATATGTTGCTGATGTTTTGGCTGAAGACTATAGTAGAGTGTATCGGGGAAAAGAAATTGTTAACGATATGAATGCTCAATTGAATATCAATATCTCATACCATCAGGCATGGCGTGCGAAGCAATATGCATTGTTGTCGTTAAGGGGTTCGAAAGAGGATTCTTTTACCAAACTTCCGGCGTATTGTCACAACTTGGCCAAACATAATCCGGGTACTGTCACACATATTAAAACAGATGTTGATGACCGCTTTGAGTTTCTGTACGTCGCACTCGGTTGCTCGGTTAGTATTATCATATTATATTAATTTTTAATTTATATTTTGGTGTATTTGAATAGATATACAATGTATGGTAGGTACGCGCTTTTGTCAATTTTTGTAAACCGACCCTAGTAGTAGATGGAGCTCACCTAAAGGGCGAGTTCAAAGGTACCATGTTACTTGCAGTTACTAAGGATGGACAAAACCAAATATTACCGGTTGCATATGGTATATGCAAAAATGAGTGTACCGATTCTTGGACATGGTTTTTTCAAAAACTACGTGATTGCATAGGAAATATGCAGGAGCTTACAATTATATCTGATAGGTCTCCATCTATAGCAACATCCGTTGCCAACATTTTTCCTCACGCTCATCATGGAATATGTGGTGTCCATTTGTATTTCAACATAGTCTCTAGATTCGGCAAGAGTAAGACGGTTAAAGGAATTTTTTGGGAGGCGTGTAGGGCGTACACAGTTGATGCTTTTGATGCCGCCATGGATGTTATGAAAAAGACAAAAGAACCAGTATGGGAGTATTTGAAAAGTATAAATCCAGAAACTTGGTCCAGAGCACATTTTAAAGGGAACCGATACAATCTTATGTCGTCCAACAGTGCGGAGTCTATAAATGCATTATCTAGACACGCGCGTAAGGTGCCAATACTTATGTTGATCGATTTTTTTCGTGCTACAATGCAACAATGGTGGTTTCAAAGACGTAACTTTGCAGGTATTAAGTAAATTTTTAATATTAATGTTTTATTAATTTTGATGTTATTGATCTTAACTTCTTCATTTTGGCTCTTTTTTTAGCGGAAGCAACAACAATTCTTACCCCTTGGGCGGATGAAATTGTAAAAGAGAACAAGAAAAGTTTTAGCAAATGGGATGTTCGCATGATCTCTAATACGAAATGCGAGGTAAAAAAGGGGGCACAAAATGTGATTGTTGATTTCAAACATATGACATGTACATGTAGGCATTGGCAACTTGATGGGATACCTTGTGGTCATGTCATAAGATGTTTAACAGTGAACAATTACGAAGACTGCTCGAGGTATGCATTAAATGCTTACTTTACCGAAACACTGAGGAAAACATATGAGGAATCAATAAACCCTCTGCCAAAGCCATCCGAATGGGAGATCCCCGATGATTTGATGATTGTTAAGCCACCAATAATGGATAAACGTCAGCCAGGCAGGCCAAGAAACACAGACCGCATTCCATCCCAAGGCGAGGGTCCAATTATAAAAGAGTGTTCTACATGTGGTCAAATTGGACACACGAGAAATAATTGTACTGGAAGGGCGTTTGGTAGCGGAGCACGTCACATAATTTCTACTGCAGAAATGGCATTTAATATTGGTGGTTCAGCGAGTTGCTCACAAACCTATAACGCTGATTTTGATATAAAACATCCTTGAAATGAAGAGTATTGACGAGTTGTTAACTTATTATGTATTGTAA